TTCTAAAATTCAAAACTACTTTTTTTCTGATTCTCCATCGAAACTGAGTATAAAAAGCTGAATTTCTCAATTTTAAAGTTGACACTGACCGCCAAATCCATGAAACAGGAGCAGAATCATAGCTACCTTCCTATCAAATTTGCAAACGTATGTAATTTTTTCCATCGAATGACTAAGCATTAATTGCTATGTTCTTCTAATCAGTACACTTGTAGGGAAAAAAGTATACAATTTTCCGTGAATTTGGAGGTCAATGTCAACTTTAAAATTGAGAAATTCAGCTTTTTATACTCAGTTTCGATGGAGAATCAGAAAAAAGTAGTTTTGAATTTTAGAAAAACAATAAATCTGAAAAATTTGGTTGTTTACGAAAATTTCACGGATGTTTGCTTATTTTCACAAACTGGGTACTTTTAAGTTTTTCCACCCAAAAATGACTTCTTAAAATGTAGGATTGTGTTTTTCCAATGCAACTCGATAAGCTCTATCCAGCCATGCCAAAAAAGCGAAAAAAATTTCGTGTTGTACGTTTAAATTACTGATACCTTACACAGAGGTTTTCAGTAGATTTCTATTCTTTCTTTTTGCTCTTTTCAGGTTCAGATTGTATGTCGGATACGACAAGCAATATCATTATTCAAGAATTAAGAAAATTACAGAAAAAAATCGATCGTATTGCTACCGCAACTGTTGTTGTAAGTATCTTTTCGTTTGAGAAAATATAACTCTGAACATTTTTGTTCTTTAGAAAGACAAAGAATTATCGTCTTACCGTGATCAAAATGAGAAAGAAAATTTTCCCGATGGAATAGTGAATATTATAAAAGCCTTTTTTTGTTCCTATTACAGTGTTTTTCCTTTAGTCATTCGAAAATGGTCCAAATCTATTAGATAGTAATGGTAAAGATTTTCGTGATTATTCTATTGGAGTTTTAAAAAAATTATATACAAAAGAAGAATTAAAATCATCAATTTTACCATCATCAACAGCACACATTTACGCTAAAAAACAACTTGATCCAAAAAGATTTAAATTTTTCAGACGTGAGTTTGAGTACAATTGTTCTTTTAATCTGTTATCATCGAGAAAAAATATATAAGGACGACATAAATGATTACAAGAGTATCGGAGCATAGATAGGTGAAAAACTTTCTTCCTCTTGTTTCACTCCTATAGAGAGCCGCAAATGTTCTTTTCTACCACTAAAAATAGACTTATTTCGCATCTTTCAACTAAAGAAAAATTTAGCAATATCAGGCTAAATCTTCTAATTTCTGTTAGGAGTTTCGTGATATTACTTTTTAAAAGTTTGATCGCTTTTGGGCATGATCGGACTTGACGAAAAGTCATGTCAGGGTACTTTCAAAAACAAATCAGGCATAATGCTGCTGATTTTTTTCCATTGGGTCCCTGTAGTCATTATTACGTCTTTAAAAAGACTATTGTTTTTCCTCTAATTGTTGTAGAAATCTCTTTTTAGATGCTGTTCGTATTAAATACAAAATTAGTGAGCAACGCTTTGATCATTTTTATTCAAAATTATTACGTAAAAAATTAAGTGATTTTCTTTATCAAGAAGGTGTTCGGGGGAAGAAGAAAGAAGTTGAAAATACAAAAACACTACCAACAATAATCACTATCAACGAGAACCATACCAACCACCAATGATGATCAAAATTAGGCATAACAACAGAAACAATCAAAATATTATCTGTATTACTAGTCAAACCATATTAGAATGACAATTGTGATTTTTCACTTTTTGCTAACGTTTCGTATTTGTTTTTACTTATATGAATATCTCTCTCAATAGTCACGTTTTTTCACTCTCTTAAGAGCCATTGCACGTTAAGGACGACCGACGCTGCTCAA